AGCCTCTGTGCTAATGCTCTTCTTTCTTTTCTTCCTTCCTTTCACAGTAATGAATACTAAATCCAGAGCCTTCACTCTAAGCTACATTCCAGGTCTTTTTATTTTTTAACTTGAGGCAGGGTCTCCTTAAATTTGCCATGCTATCCTCAAACTTGCGATCTTCCTTCCTCTGCTTCCCAGACTGCTGGGATTACAAATGTGCACCACCATGTGCACCCTCAGACTGCTTTCATGAAGTTAAGAAATGAGACAGAAAAAGCAAAACCTACTCAGAAATTTCTCTTCTCTTAGGGAAGTACATTCCAGGACAGCCAGTAGTTGCCTACAATCACAGATAATACAAAATCTCATACATATCTATTATGTTTATATATAATATATATTTATAATATATATTATATATAATAAATTTAATTTGTAAATTAGGCACTTCTGTAAGTGACTAACAAAAATAACTAATAAAAAAGAGCACAATTATAAAAAATATTCTGTAATAGAATTTATTTAAAACTTACAACTGCTTATTTCTGGACTTTTCCTTTTCATATTTTGGATCTGTGTAACTAAATCTATGGAAAGCTAACCTTAAAATGAAAACAGACTATTGTCTTTATTATTTTGACAGCCAACTGTCTATAAAGCAGCCTGAGCAGACACTGTCAGGCACAAGAAATGAATAAACACCATTATTGAAAAAGTACTGAAGATTACCTTTGGGAATAATTTGTAAAAAGGCAAGTAAAAGAGATGTTGATTAGTTTTTTAGGTCACTGAGAAAAGTACTTTCAATTCTGTTTTAAAGTTCTTGCTATGAAAACAGAATGTCTATTATGTTAGGTCCAAAACCAGGGAGTTGATACACTGCTGAATTGAGCATATTGCCAGATATTCATTTATTGTTCAGATATACAAATTATTACAACAGATCACATTACTTCCTTGAGCTGTTCACCTCCAAGAAACAATACTGAATGTTTAGTTAATAGTCCAATGAAATCTAGGCATCTGAAAAGCAAAATCGTCAGCTTTTTAGTTAATTTAGTTATGGAAGCTTAAAATGAAAGAAAATACTTAAAAATCAAAATTTTCAATTGTGCAGCTAAGAAAAGTTTGGGACATCATCTCCATTTAACAGATTTTGAATTTATGTTCCTGCCTGTATGAAAAGATGTTCAGAACAAATATCTACTCTTCATCTTTCCTCTCACCCTTCATCTGGGTAGATTTTATTTATGTACTAGATGACCTTTTTGGTCATTAGAACCATCTTGCTTCAGCAGTTAATTAACACAAGTACCATAATTTAATACAGTTAATGCTACTTGATGCCCTTTAATGTACCTTCCATTAGTGATATTATTGTAGTATTACCCTGTAAATTAAAATGAGATCAAGACTAAGAGAGCTGCTCTTTAATTAAGGTACTGGTGCACTGTACTCATCTATTATTCACTAGAGAAAATCACCCCGATTTACTGAAGCAGGACATCCATAAGGCAGAATTAGTCCATGAAGATTACTAGTTTTATTGAACAGTGCAAGTACCATGGAGTCGCTGAGATTGCCAATAGCCATGTTTCCTCGTTTTCCTCCATTATCTTAATAAATATAGAATGAGAAGGGAGTAAATGAAAATAAAATAAGCATGTAGCAAAAGAAGAATAAATTTTTTATGATGAGATTATAGTTGTTTTTTGATCAGTAAAACAAGTATCAGGTGTATTGTATCACATGCTAAAAAGAACAAATGCTGCATTAATCTAATGATAATCAAAACATCATTTTTACATCAAACAAAACTAGTCAGTTAAAAATACACACATACACAATGAAGTCGAGAATTGGAATTCACAGTCGATTTAAGAGGTCAGTAAATATTTTTGTTTAGTAGATTAATATTTCAAAATGAAAAATTCTGAGATCCGTCTTAACTATTTTGTGGGTATTTACATCTGATTTCCATTCCACTCTCCCAAAATAAATCTTATCAATTTCCACACTTTGCTGGGGGTGGTGTTGGAAGTGACAAGTAGGAAAGTATCATTATCATTATCATTATCAGTTACAGACATGTAGAGGCATGTAACAAGGTGCAATCATTTCATGGGATAGTGGCTGTGATACAGAAAACAAAGGCTTCAGCTATATTTTGGAAAGTTTACATTTATGATAGTTTTGAAGAGAAATTTTTAAAACTTTTTTTAGAAATCATCCGGTAATGGGGCCGGGGATTTAGCTCAGTGGTTCCGGCCCCTGCCGCACAAGGTCCAGAGTTCGATCCCCAGTACCAAATAAACAAAACAAAACAAAACAAAACAAATCATCCAGTAATAATCCTTCTAAAGGTGATTTGTAATATAAAAGAAAGACAACCTAGTCCATTAATCCTACGGAAATTTCAAGGGTAAATAATCACAGCAGTGCCCATGCTGAAAGGCCCTGTGAACCAGGCTATTGCTCAACCTTTCCCTTTAGTGGCTCTGTCATGAGCAAGTCTTCCTTATATAATTTAAAAGCTGGAGACACGCCCGAGCCATCAGGCCTTGCTTCTTTAGTCCCTCCCCTAAGACAAAAAATACTCAGGCCATCTGGTGCCTAGTGCAGCACATGCCAGCATCAGTTTTGCCCTGAGGAATTTGGACGGAGTGTGGAGGTGACAGAATAGGACCTTATGGAAGGGCTCACCTCTACTGGACCTTTCTCTCTGCCCAGCTGGTTCTCATCAGCTTGCAGTTGACAGGTGAACAGGAAAAGACAGTGGCGGTGAGTCCTAGAGAATGGACAAGGGCTACTGCGAGCTCCTCAGAACTGCTTAAGTGCAGTTGAAGGACACTACCCAGGGTGAAGGGTAAAAGAAAAATGATAATCAGAAGGGATTCTGCATTTTTAACATGTCACCTTTAGGAAATGGTCTGTCTAGTTCCAATGGAGAGTGTGTAAAAATGTCTTTGTCCTTAAAATGTACTTTATATCTTTAAAAAATAATCAGCGGAAAGAAAAATGAATGCCTGCTTTTAAAATGTCTCAATGATGGTTATTTCCCAGCTAAACAGCTTCTGAAGGCTGCCTTCCTAACAGCAAATGAGCGTGTTTAGGGCCAGTTGGTCTATAGCATGATTTGTGCCCAGATTAAGGATTTCTCAATCTGCTAGGAAACTAACCTATGTGAACTTTAATCTAACACTATGGATCACACTAAGATTCAAATTCAAATCTAAATTTATTAATATGGGTCTTTATTCTTACAGTATTCAGTGTGAATTAGATACTTGTCACTTGATTTTGGTATGATAGTGCTCGTAATAACACTATTAGTGTTAGTAATAACACATTAATTATTTTCCTGTATCAAATGACTGAATGATCAGACATTGGAATTGATATCTTTCACTACAGTGTTCCTGAATATAATCACTGCATTTTATTATAAACAGCAAACTCATACTTCAGACAACAGCTCCCTACACCCCATCATGGTTCCCCACTAATATAATGAACTATTCTCTGTAACCTGAGACCCACACATTCAACACAGGGATATACATGTGTCAGTGTATATTTCTCTCAAAAATGTTATTTTGCCATGGCTTCTCGGCCTTTTGGCTAAGATCAAGTGTAAAAATGATATTTTGCTTTAGAGATATCTTCAATATCTATCACTAAGATTTTGGTTAAAAGCTAAAGATTCTTGTCTCTCCCATAGGAACGCAAAGCTATAACAAAGAGGATTGCCACTTGCTCCTGCTACTTTTCTACAGCTGAGGCCCTGAAGCCTCTGAGGTCACTCTGAATGGTCATGCCATGTATCCTGTGTGCCTGTGATGGGTCTGAGCTCAACAGCAGTGGCCTTTTCTTCCTTCTGGCACATGCATGAGGTAACTCTGAAAGACCAGAAAATCTCAGCAGCTCCGGTTTCTGAGGACTGGTCTTCCCTAAGGATGCTGGAAGCCAGCACACTGAATGAATCCTGCTTTATTATGTTAAAATTGTATGATTACTAACTTAAACCTACATGATAGATGTAACGTTTATATCCTTATCTTTAGGTTTTTGACTTAAAGCTCTTGGTATTTTTAGGGTGATTATTGCTTTGCTTATCTTTTGCTTTTTTCCCTCCCATTTGCTGTAACTCTATTCTTACCTTTAGTTCTTCTCATTTACTCCCTCATGTTCCCACTCTCATCATCTGGCTATTTGGATAATATGGCATGCTCAGAAAGCTAGTTAAAAACCTCAGTGTTGGGAAATTCTCATTACTCAAGAGTTTCACTTAAATATCCTCAAAATTGTTAGAAACTCAATTGTGTTTCTAGTATATCAAAACTAAGCCAATCCCTGGTTATGAGCATTAATGTTCCAACTCTAGTTCATCTTTAATTCACCTACAAAATGAAGGGTGTGCAACTCAAGTCCATATTTTTTAAAAAAATATTAGTTCAATGCAACAGCCTCCAGAAGCATTAAAAGTAGAGCTTGTGTTTCTTTAACAAATGCATTGTTTTCTAGATGCTTCAAGGGTTGAAGTAATAAATTTACATAAATATAACACTCATTTCCAGATTCTTCTGTCCAATAAAACAACTCTTATCAGGTTGTTGTATCATATCGCAATCCTCTCTTACATTTCTTTTTCTTCAGCCCCTTTTAGAGAAACTGGGTTTACTACCCCTGGCTTTATTCCCTTAACGACTTAAAAACCACCTCCTGACCTGGGGAGTTTCCTTGTCTCAAAGAAGATACTTTTAAAGTGTTATTTATTTATTAGGGTGCTTTTTAAAAAAATCTAGATTTCTGCCAAATTCACTGGCAGCAAGTCTGGGATTACAAATTACTGCTGAGCACAGGGTCACAGATGCCTTCAGAACCTGCTTGTGCACTAGTGTTCCTGAGAAAGTGTTGCCTGGAACTTGACGACTGTCACTTCATAGCTGTAAGATGAACACATCAGCATTTTCCTTGGCCCCGCCCATCCCATTCATGGCGGACAGATATTTGCTTACCTTCCTCGAACCTTGATGTCTGAGATTGCATAAAAGTAGCGTGCCAAGTGAAGCTCATCTACAAATATTTCCCCAACGGCTGGTCTCAACAGCCTTATCCTCAGATCTGTGACTGTAAAGAAATCTCTGAGTTTCTTGGTTGTATCCAGCTGGCCGTAGAGAGAAGCCATATTCCGTAACCGAGGTCCAGCAAAAAATGCAAACCTGTCTTTGATTTCAAAGTGGATAATTTTGCTATTTGTTGAATACCCCGTGGAGTACTCTTCTGTACAAATAATTTCTAAGACTGTGTGCTGTGATAAATCTTTCACAGATTTTGGGTCCATGTGAAAAGCATCTAAGCAGTCTGTGGCATAATACTGATAGGGCTGCCATGTTCGTCCGTAATCCAGAGACTTCTCCAGGATCATTTGGTCTGGACGCCCTGATTCAAAAGTAATAACTATGTTGTCTGTGAGCTCAATGGTTTTGCTCCAAGATAGAGTGATGTTAACCTGGAGAGGCTTGGGGTATTCCTTCCAAGTAGCAGACTGCCAGAATGTGGAGGGATGTCTTCCTTCAAAATCAAACATCAGCTCAGGAGGGTGTGCCAGCTCAGGGGTGCTTGCGTCACACTCATTATTGCACATGTAGGGGTTGCCCTATGGAAGAAGAAAAAAGAGGGTGCATCAATACACTAGTTTGACACCAGTCTTGCCATTATTGCTGTTGCTAAGAGGCTAAGAGACAGAGAAAAGTTTTCAATAACCACTCCCATTTGCCCTAGCTGGATTCTCCTATTTAATAGCTTAAATAAAAAAGCAATATGGTAATTTTCTTGTCTTGTTTCCTTCCATGGGTTTTAAGAAATGAAAAGTGTATTTATCCCATATGTGTTAGGCCCATACTATGGTCACAAAATCTCAAAGACAAAGAGCAACTGTCTAACAGCTCAGTAGCTCTGCTTCCTCTTAGAAAGATGCTGTAGAGAAGCAAGGGGATTTTTTCCCTGACTCAAGGATGTTCCCTAAGAGCACAGTTCTTTAAAAGGGCATTTTTCAAGCAAGGCCTTGGAATTAGCTATGAGCAGTAGACATCTGTGTCCTGTTTGGGAAATGATGCCCCCATACAATGTTCAGCTGCTTTTGGCTTTGCCTCCAATCCATCATACTTAACTGGTTCCCTGCTTCATAAAGTCTGGTTTTAGAACATTTACTTTATTCACCACAAATCATTAAAATGTGGTACACTCCAGGCTCTGGGGCTTGGTCCAAACATCTGCCATTCTATTAACTGGAGATAAGAGGACTTTTCAGGAAAGGCTTGGGGTTTTGTTCCAAGTTGTCAGGACAAGAAAATTCACTACAGTTATCCTTCAGTATCCATAAGGGATTGGTTCCAGGACCCATTTTGATACCAAAATCTGCATATGCTCAAGTCTCATATAAAATGGCATAGTAACCTATGTGCATGTAACCTACACATATCCTCCCAATACTTTAAAATTTAAAGTGTAAATCATCTTTAGATTATAATATCTAATACAATGTAAATGCCATGCAAATAGTTGTTGTACTATATTGTTTAGAGAAATGACCCAACTGTCATAGGTCTGATTTCATGGCAGACAGAGGAGATAATAGGTGAGCGATGCTCAATCAAGGAGTGCTAGAGAGAGACGAAGAACTGTGAAACAGCAGAATGCTACAGCAGGTCATGTCTGTACATCTCTTCATTCACATAATTCAACATAATGCTCAGCACATGGCAGATTCAAGTTTTGCTTTTAGGCACTTTCTGAGTTTCTCAGTATTTTTAATTCACAGTTGATTGAATCTGTGGATACAGAACCTCTAGATGTGGAGGCCAACTGTACTCAATTAGGAGGGTGTTATACACCAAACGTTACCCACATATGTGTTTATTACTCTGTGCCAGTCCATAGGCTGCTCTCCGTGGATGGTAATTACTTTTATCATCATCACCTTCATCGTCATCATCATCGTCATCATTATCATCATCATCATCATCATCATCATCATCATCATCATCATCATCATCATCCTAATTCCTCTGACAAAGGTCACTTCCTTTACAACCCAAACAAGAAGCTGGAAGTAAATCCCTTTGTCATATCATAAGATTTAACACTGCTGGCACCACACTAAATGGTTGCTCTCAGGTTTCATCCAAAGATTCTTTGGAGAAAGACTGGCTTCCAGATTTATGTTTATTTTGTTTTTAAAAAACAAATAATATTGGGAGTCCACTATTTACGGTCCACTTTATCCACAGAGAACATGTACCAAGGATCCCAGTGAATGTTTGTTTTCCTAGTATACTCACTTGTGATAAAGTTTAATTTACAAATTGGGCACAGTAAGAGATTAACAGCAATAAGTAAATAGTACAACAGAGCAATTATAACAATATATGTCATAAAACTTACGTGAGCCTGGCCACTCTCAGAACATGTGATCATACTCATGTTTCTTGTGATGTTGTGAGATGACAATGCCTGCAATGATGTGAATGAATGAAAGCAGCTCTGAGACCTGATGTCAGCTGCTTAAACACAAGCACTGCAGTGAGCAGATTCTAAGTGACTCATGAGTGCATATACAAAGTGCATACATTGGATAGAGGCATGATTATATCAAAGACAGGATAAAGCAGGACAACGCTCAGGATGATGCATAATTTAAAATGTAGGAATGGTTTATTTCTAGAGTAGTCCAGTTAATATTTTTGGACCCCAGGTGAAAATGGGTAATTGAAACATGGAAAGTGAAACTACAGGTAAGGGGAACATCCTATATTTCTTTCTTATCCTATCCTCGGAATTATGAGCATGGGTGGATGAAAGAATCGACCCTCTGGTATTTCCTTAACCTTTCTTGGGAATTATAAATAGATTTCTTTTCTCTTTTTCATGAACTGTGAGCTTTTCATACCTGTTGGATGCACAAAATGGTTTCAAATAATGAATTTACACTTTAGATATCGATGTTCAGTTACCTGCTGACTCACACGAAATATTAGATGAACATTGGAGAATTGCTCTGGCCTCCCCAGAGGCACCTTTCTCCTACCTAGTCAGCTAATACTCACACTCTCTGTTGCCCATTAATGCAATTGTATCCTAAAGCTGGCAACAGGTTTGGGAGACTAAAGTATAATTGAGATGAGGCAGGAGAAGGAAGAGAAGGTGCGTTATTTGAGGAACAGAACTGTTTTAAAAATACACTGAAGAAATCAGTGATAATGGAAATGTTTCTGTATTTCTTTCTCAAATTTCAATTCCCTATTCCTGATCCCAGCGTCTGTGGCACTATTTATAGGTATCCCCTTCAAAATGAGCTGGGGTGGGGGGACGATACATTTCTGTTCCAGGTGGGATATATCACCAAATTTATTATTATTTAAACTCTCTTAAGCGTGCCAGAGAGCCAAATGTAAAGCTCTGCAAACTGGTAAAGGCTTTTTATGGAGGGCTATAAATATTGTAGAATCTGTCAGGATTTATAAATTCTAAATATATGTAAATGTGCATTTTACTGGAAGGGGTCAGGTTTACACAAATCACACCTCCATTTGAAATTTACTGAAAAAATATGATCACTTCAAAATGTGTCAGTACGTAGCCATCTGTCCGATCATTAACTTGGACATTACTGTCTTCCTCCTAATGAAAGTGTCTTCATCTGAGGTCAGGGGTATGGGGAAAATGGAATGGGGAAAATGGAATCAGCTCCGTGGGATGCCCAGAACAAGTTACTATATATTAGCATTAATCTGTGTTAAAAGACAGGCTTTGTCTCCAGTCTAGGTGCACAGGGCTTTTCAGATCAGGGCAAGGTGCTGAGTCCACACATGGAGGAGGCACATCAGGCTGATCTAAGTATGAGTCAACACTAACAAAACTGTCTTAGAAAATATCCCTGAAGAAATCTAAAAGACATTTGTTCCTACATTCAATAAAAGGAGTTTGGCAATGTCCAACTACAATTAGTCCTTATGTGTTGGGCACTTTACAGATACCTGACAATCCCTTTTTTCCCTACCTCACAGAGGAGGAAACTGAGGCATAAAGGAGTATGAAGGCCTGTGCCTGAGATCACATAACAAAGTGTAAGAAGCACAGCCAGAGTCTCTCCACCTACTCCTGCCCCAGTCTGTTCAACACCCAAGTCAATGGAATTTCTTGTGTTGTCCTTAGTGCCTTAGAATAAGCATTGGTTGGTGGAAAGAAAATATCTAATATCAAATGAGTTTGGGTGAAACAACGTAAGATCCCTTCTTAACCCTAATGAGCATTATCATACATTGGAGATGGCTTGAAGTTAAGAACCTTGCTTAGTTTAAAAAAGAATACTAGTTTCACAAACTTGTTTGACTATGGAGCCCCTTTTGAATTTACTGACCCATACTTATATTTCACATAAGTAGTACCTATTATTCTTAAAATTGTAAATGTGTGGAAGCCAGGTGCCACCTTGTAACCCAGTTTTAAGCCTTTAATGAAAACCAGGTGACAGAAAATACTCTTTCTCTGCTTCTGTTCTCCATGGAGGGGTACCCTTGACCTTGGACTCAGTGGGACAGCCAGCTCTTGGTAAGGGTGGACATTGACATCAAGGCTTCACCCAAACCTGGTGCTTTAGACATCTGAACGATGAGAGGAAAATCTCCTGTATTCAGTAAGTATTGATTGCCTACTATAGTCTATTTAAGGCACTCATCTTGGCCCTTAACATATAGTAAGAAACAAAATCTGGGTGCTTGCTTTGTTTGGCATTTCCACTCTAGTTGGACAAGATGCAAATGAACATAATGTTTCATGTTATACATGATAACTACTATGGAAAAAAATAAAGCCAATTAAAGGAGGATGCATTGGGGAAGAAACAGTGATTGTAATTTTATATTGGGAGAAGGTCTCCCTGATAACATGACACTTGAGCACATAAAGAACAATTCCCAGTTTACACTGGAGATGATCAGAGGAAGCTGACCAGAATGACAGTTTTGTCCTTCATCTGACTCTACTTTTAGTAATATTTTCAGTAGCATGAAAATTTGTTGCAATAGATGAGTAGACAAATCATTTGAAATATGAATCTATACCAAATAACTGTAGATAACAAAAAAAAGACAAATGAAAAAGAATCAATTGGACAGTTTTCCATATTTAATAGTGCTCATATGCTTTTAGATCATGATTTAATGATTATTAACACGATTTACTAAGAGACAGCAACATTGTGAGAAAATTAGCACGGGACAGTAAAAAAGGAGTAGATGTCACTCTGGTCTCTGGATTTTAGGTAAGAGAGAAAGAAGAAAGGAAGAAAGCCGAAGTTGAAAATCTTACCATTCCCAATAGAGAAAAGTAGACAAGAGATTATATGCAAAAATATTTAGTGTAAATGTTTCATATGGGTGTGATTCATAATACTGTTGTTATAGAGAATTATCAATAAGAAAACAATTCTTCTTAAAGGGATTAACTTAATTACATTTTCAACTACTTCAACTCCACCCTAATCCTTTTTAATAACATCAACAATGAAATTTATATAAGAAAAAAGCAACTTTTCCCTACTTACGAAAGCAAAGAACACTTCTTACTACTAAATCTAACAGATTCAGGCATCAGTAA